TTTTTTTTTTATACAGCTTTATTGAGATATAATTCACATACCATATAATCCACCCACTTAACGTGTACATTTCAGTGAGTTTTAGTGCATTCCCACAGAAATGCAACCGTCACCACTTTTTATCATCCCCAAAAGAAACCCCATCCTCATTAGCAGTCGCTCCCCATTTCCCTGCAACCCCTCCGCAGCCTTGGGCAACCACTCATCTGCTTTCTGTTTGTGTAGGTTTGCCTGTCGTGCAGATTTCGTATAAACGAAACCACGCAGCATGCGTCTTTCGTGACTGGCTTCCTCCACTTAGCGTGATGTTTCTGTTTTTCATTGCTCTTGGGTATATACCTAGGAGCAGAATTGTTGGGTCCTACGATGACTCTGTGTTTAGCTTTATTGAGAAACAGCCAGATAAGTTGCCGCAGTGGTTGCCCCGTTTTGTAGCCTCACCAGCGGTGTATGTGACTTCCGTTCCCCCCACTTTTTTTGATTTGATAAATTGTGGTCAAATACATGTAACATAAAACTTATCATTTCTTTAAAAAATGTTCATTTTTGAGAGACACAGAGCGTGAGTGGGAGAGGACAGAGAGAGAGAGGGAGACCCAGAATCCGAAGCAGGCTCCAGGCTCCGAGCTGTCAGCACAGAGCCCGACGTGGGGCTTGAACTCATGAACTGCCAGATCATGACCGCAGCCGAGGTCGGATGCTTAACCGACTGAGCCACCCAGGCACCTATACAATTTACCATTAAAAAAAATTTTTTTTTGATGTTTGTTTTAGAGAGAGACAGAGAGACAGAGCACGAGTGGGGGAGGGGCAGAGAGAGAGAGGGAGACACAGGATCTGAACCAGGCTCCAGGCTCCGAGCTGGCAACACAGAGCCCGACGCGGGGCTCGAACCCACGAGCCATGAGATCATGACCTGAGCCGAAGTTGGACACTCAACCGACAGAGCCACCCAGGCGCCCCTCCCTCTGATAGTCGTTATTCTACTTTCTATCTCTCTGAATTTACCTGTTCTAGGGTTCCAATTCCTTTTATAGTTTTCCTGACAGATGTTTCTCTGGGTTCCGCTTGAATACCTCCAGCGACAGAGGGCTCGCTCCTTTGCCAGGCATCCCGTTCTGCTATCAGAAACATCTGTTGAGAAGGCTTTTATAGCTTCTGCCCCGATCAACTCCCATCAGACCCGTCCACAAACCTTAGTGTTGCCCTCTGGATTTAAGGCATGTCGGACAAGTTGACTTCCCCATCTGCAAGAGAAGCTGTAATGGAAAACCCCCCTCCTTTTTCAAACAAAACCCGAAGCCTCCTAGGATCTAGCTCTGGGAGGACAATGTCTTAGCGGGATGAGAAGTGAGCAGCTCCGACCTTCTGGCCCCTGAGCCCCCTTCCGCTGGGGGATCCTCACTTTGAAATCTACAGGTACCACCACACCAGGGCCCAGGGTTGTCCCCTGTTCATTTCACACTTGGGTCCCTGGGATATGCTCTACCCAGCTTGGCTCCTCTTGAGACCTTTAAACACTAAGGGACATGAGTAGGGACACTGACATGGAACACACAAAACAAAAGCCCCCAGCCCCGCAGAGCCCGCCTCTTCCAGGGCTGCCCTAAGCCACAAGGGTTGGGACGATTTGTAGATTCTTTCCCTCTGCCTTTGCTAGGCTTTCTTTCTGAAACTTCTGTTGTTCTCACGTGTTGCACCTCCCGGATGATTCTGCATGTCTCTTATCTTTTATGGTTTCACTCTCCTTCATTATACTCTATGTTCTGGAAGAATCTCTTGATTTTTTTTTTTT